ACAATTTTTGAAACCAAAAATTTGAGCACTATTAGTAACTGAACTCTACTAATCCAGTAGTTAGTGATCGAAGAAATAAGATTGAACTCTAGTAAGAACATAGAACCCAAGGCTGTGATAGCAGATGTAAACCCGAATAAGCTGCACGTAAGTCAGATTGGGCATAAACATGTAAACACAAACCCAGATCGGGCATTAACAAAAAACAAACAAGTGAATAACGATTGCCTAGCGATTTATATGGCTACCAGCCGTCATTATCGTTGGCTTTTGCTGGTTGGTGGCCTAGCTCTGGTAGGTGTACACCATCGGAGATGATTTGTTGTGCAGCAGATGGAGTTATGGCATCGCAGTCAATATCTTTGTGGACATCTGCAGCGAACCGTCGTAATTGCTCAAAACCTTCGTTGAAAGCCACAGACATTGCCTGGCCATGCTTGTCGCCTCCTTTGTGGATGCTCAAAGATTCGTACGTAGCATCCTCCTCCGTCATATGCAAATCCTCTGCTTTGTGCTTTCGTCTTTAGCAACGAATTCTGTGCTTCTCTTTTCTGTAACGCGCTTTGTTCACTTGGCGCGTCAAATACGCCAACTTCTGCTCAGCTTCGACACACTTTTGATGCCAATAATGGACCAAGGAGGAGTCGTGTTCCAGTTTGTTCTTCATATCATTTATTTCCACAACAGGATCATCGGAGTCGCCCTCGCTTGCCGAGGAGGTTGGAAGTGGCAGCGGTGGTAGAGGGGACCTTAGATAATCGGGGGCATATTCCCATGACCCATCGGAGTCCCCCTGATTAGCATTGCCACGTGAACTGGCTAACATGTTGACAAATCTTCAGTTTCTTCATATTGGGGGATTCGTTGTATGCACAAAACACAACTCCAAAGAAGAGTCAGGAAGAAAACAAGATGTGGATCTACAGCAATGAGTATCCCATAGCCATACGACAACCTTTATATATGATGTCCTCGACTATTCCGCAGTTTTGTTTTTTTGTGTATTTGATTTAGTTAGGTTGAATTCGGAATAAAGCCTTGTATTAATCACAGAAAGCATACACATGAATTTTGATTTCCCGCTCTTTCAATGAGGTGGTAGCATTTGTCGACATATTATCCCGATTTTTGCAAAGGAAGGGTGAAGCAATGGTTACTGACGTGCACGTGTGCACCTACCCAAGGTTGATGCGGTCAGGTCCCGCCATGTGTTGTATTTCGTTATTTTCATTACACAACTAGGGGAAAATTATTGAAGACATGGTAATAACAAGGAGAAAATTTGAAAAAATTGCCCCAAAATTGATTCTAGCTCCTTGTGCCATTACACAACTGGGAGAAGCTATAAATCATCGAAAGTGCTTTTCAAACTCACTTTCGTACTCAATTTCATCATATGTGACAACACAGAGTGTACACTTCATCTTCAGAATATGGTTTGAACTCGCTTTCCTTTCAACCGTAACATTATGTTTTGCAAACCTTTTCCGTCTATTTCCTTCATGTTCATTATCTAATTTGAAATAACACAACTATTGGTTACATTTGCTTCGTATCTAATTATTGGGAAATTAAATATGTTGTATTTTCTCCTTTCAAATGACACACATAATATTATTCTTGTTATTTCATTGGTCAAATTATATATTTCACACGAATAAGCAAACCTCATATTACCATTTTACG